ATTATTTATGTAAGGTTAGGTAAAAGAAAAATAAATAAATAATATGTAAATGGGTATGGTAGTGGGATGATGTCACACTAGAATTTCTTTTTGAGTTATTTTAATAAGAGAAATTTAAATGGAAGTTGAATAGAGGGGTAGGGAGTGTAGTTGAAAGAAATAATGCCTAGGGACTGACATGGAAGTTTGAAAAAGGATTTGAGATTTTTAAAGAAGTGTCCCAAGATAGAATTCATAGAAAGGACAAACAAATATAAATTAGAAGACAGTGATGTGCTTAGAAGCCAGCTAACTAATTGAATCTAGGTGAAAGAGTTACACTTTTGTGTAGTCTAAAATCCAATGTTCTAAAAGTCCTTAGTCGCCCGCGAGGTGCTCTACCAGCGTCTAGCACTTAGAAAGCTGAGTAGGGGTCTAGGCGGCGCCTAGTCGAGGCCTAGAAATCAATATGAAATACCTTATTTTTTATTTATTTTGACTACATACAAAATAAAATTATTTTAATTTATAATAAATTGACACACTTAAGTCCAAATATTAATATTAATATATTTTAAAGAAAATAAGAGAACAAAATAATGTTTTAGTATTTAAAAAAAAAATGAAAAATTGCCGCCAAGTTTGCCTAGGCGTCGCCTAACCGCCTGGCCGCCGAGCCCGCCAAGTCCGCATAGGAGCGCTTAGGGCCGCCTAGGCCCGCCTAGGCGCCGTCTGGCCGCCTGACGATTTTTTCTGCCGATTTGTTCAAATCGAAGGCGTCCGAGCACCGTTAGGCCGATTTTTAGAACAAAGCTAAAACCTACCTGCCAAAAACAAAACAACCCACATCACACTAAAACAACCTACAAATTTAGAAAAGGAGAACGAAAAACTCCCACAAAGAAATGAGCTCCCAAACGAAAGAACTAAAAAAGAAATAAAATAAACACTAATGAAAAATACAACACAAGACACCACAACCACAAGAACACAAAAAATACTAACAAAATAATAGTGTCTCTCTCACTTAGAGCATCTCCAAGAGACTTCTTATTTTAGACTTCTTACTTGGAGAAATAAGGAGTCATCCTATATCCATTTGCTTCCTATTTTCTGTTGTTCTCTAAGAGTCTCCCTATTTTATAATTTGAATATGAACCAGACCCACAAATCTATCTAAAAGCCCACTTGAAGCCCACTTGATATTGTAATTGTTAACGATTATAATAGTAATTAACTAATTTTATAATATTCACTATTTTTTTTTTAATTATTATAATTAGTAATTTATTATTAATTGTTTTTTATAATTTTTCCTTTATTAATATAATATTATTTCCTTTTAGATTATTATTATTATTATACTAATTGTTATTATAATTTATTAATTTTTAATCAAAAAAATTATTTTTTTGAACAATTTTTATTTTTTTAATTTTTTAATTTTAATTATTATTATTAGTAATTTATTATTAATTATTTGTTATATTTTTTCATGTATTAATATAATATTATTTCTTTTTAAATTATTATTATTATTATTATTATTATTATTTGAAATGGGGGGTCGTTTTTCCCTCCCCAGAAATGAGGAAGAGAAGCCCCTATTTGAGGTCACCCTAAAAATAGGACCAAGTTTAGGGGAACTGTTGGAGACAGTTTTTGAGAGAAAATCCCTATTTTTGAGATAAAAAAGAGAAATAGGGAGGCTCTTGGAGATGCTCTTAGTATGCTACATTTGAAAAAGAGTAGATGCGATTAATTCGCACCGCACTTCTTTTCTCTCTCTATATATATAAACGGACAAAAATACCTTTTTTCGCATAAAAATCTATATATTAATTGTTATAAATTTATTAAATAAAATCTCATCCTCCCTATAAATAATTTCAGAATGCGCTGAGCCTACGTGGCTGCTTCTGGTGCTTCGGAATCCTATTTGGCGAAGAATCATGCTTCGTAATTAGGCTTGGATGAATAATATTGATATATTAATAATTAATCATCTAGGTTCGGGTATTCCATAAATATTATTTAGCTAACTTAGGTATTTTAATATCACTTTTACTAATATAACCCTTTAATTTTTTTGTAATTTTACATAGTGAGGCAATAAGTGACTAATATATCCCTGAATTTGATTTGTTTCCTTCAATAAGCTATTGAATTATAAATGTATTTTGAAAGTTGATAACTTTTGTATTTCTTATCGGTTTTACATATATAATATATCAAATTAATTATCTTTTGATGATCTTCGATTTGACATCCATATTGTATATATGAAATAAATAAATTATATTTATCTTTATAATAATAAAAAATAATAATATTTATTAAAATTTATTAGAAAAATAAAATTATTTCTCAATTGATATATTTATATGTAATGTAGTTATATATTGTAAGTTAAAAAAATTAGTATAATATAACACAAGTAAGTCGCACAAATAAAAAGTGTCACAATAAATATATAATAATATATATATTCTTATAAAAGGTATTTAAATTTTTAAACTACTTTTTCCTTATTAATTTTAGATTTTAAGAAAAAAAATTGCAAGCACCCATGTAATACACGGGTGTTGTACTAGTCATAAATTATAATAAAAGGCACATAACTTTTCAAAAATTGATTCTATTAACTAAAACGAAAAATGTTATATTTTGTATATCATGTAATAGTTACTATTAAAATTAATTTTATATTTTACACTAAATGTTATATGAAAATTACATAAACATAAAAAAATATATTGTAAAGCTTTTTGTTCAACTTATTTATTCTAAAATCAGTATTATATTTCTCATTTGATTAAGCGATTGTTTTTTTATTAAATTAATTTATTTTGATGTCATAGTGAAATTGTTTTTTATATATCGCATAAGCAATTGTTATAATAAATTTAATATTTTTCAGCAAATTTAGTCATGATCTCTCAAAATTACAGATATTACATTGCATATTACATTTTATGCAATCAAATAGTCACACATTATATTTATTTTAACCAATGATCAAATTTTAAAACATAATACTACTATATAATTTATAATTTCAATAGTATATGCATAAATATAACTTATAATACTCTATATTTAAAATTTAATATAATTATTTTAATTATAATTTTAATATTATATTCATTTAAATAACTTGTAGTTGGGTTGAAGTTTCGAACCCGTTAGGCAACCGAGTAGTTTGGCAGTTTCGGGTCGGTGCTTCTGATTTCGGGATTCGTGGTTGGCTTGTGTCCGCTGGTTCGGTTAGGTGTTGCAGCTTAGGAAAGGCTCGAATTTTTCTGTGTTTTTTGGTGTTTAGTTTGTGCCTTTTTGGTATGTTGTTGTTTTCTAGTTCGTGTGTTGTTTAATTGTGTTTTTGGTCTGGGTCGTTGGCCTCAGTGAACCCGAGTGTGCCTTTATTATCCTGTTGGGATCTACACTCGGGTATTACCCTGTTGGGGTTGTTATGTATTGTATTACCCTGTTGGGGTTTTATGTGTCGTTAGTAGTTTTTTGTGTTTTTCGTTTATTACTCTTTTGGGGTCGGCTTTAGGCGGTCTTTTGACCAGTCCTTCCTCTTTTTTCAGCTGTTGGTTGCTGAGTATTCAACCGTTGACTCTGTATATTCGCACAATTATGCTTTTTATTTTATAAAATTTCTATCGTTTAGAAAAAAAAAAAAAAAAATCTATATATATACACATTTGCACATGGTCAGGATACATATTTTTAATAACAAGCGGGCTACAAGTTAATTAAAATGAAAATAAAAATAAATGTAAAATAAAAGTACACTAAATAAATCAAGATTAAATATGAATAATTAAAATATAAAAAAAATTATACTAAATAAATCAAGCTTAAATCTAACCATTATTACAAATTGCAGCTTCCATATTTTTCACCATGCCCTTAAGCCCGTTCTCATACTTGCCCACCAAATCTGGCAATTGCCAGCCGTCCACCGGATCGAGGCTAATCCACCAAACCACGGTGCCATCCCGAAAAACCTTTAGAGTCGAAACGTACGACTGAAATCCTATGTTACTATCCACCATGTCATAAGTGAAGGTCATCTCCTTACGATCGATCGACACCAATCTTTCCTTCGACCACTTGATTTCTTCGTCGCCCTTTCGTTTAATGCCGAATCCTGAGCAGTAGCGAATGCATCCCGGCACACCATTGACACCCTGCAAGCCGTGACATGTGGGGAGACCAGGAAACCATTTGTTAAGGCCAAAGAAATCCTCCAGCAAAGGCCATACTTGGTCAGGCCTCACTTGTTCCAACAAAGTGGATACCTTGGCCTCCCATTTCATTTGTGGGACATCCATTACAAGGATTAACGTCACAGAATGGAAAGGGTGAGTATTTATATAGTTTGTAAAGTTATTATGTATGGTATAGTCTTGTATTAAAAATAGTCAATTTGGAATAAAAATACTCAATTTGGACGGAAAATAATTGAGTTCGGTTTTGATCATCAATGTGTAAATGTACTAAAAAAAAGTAACTTGTAATGAATATAATAGACTTTGGTAAGTACTTTTATTTTATATTGTTTATTCGTCATGAAAGTGCAGCGTATAGTTGGCAAAAAATAAAAACTAAAAAAAAATAAAATGAAATAAAATAAAAGAGGAAAGTTCAGCTTATTATTATGGAGATTTCTTTTAAAATTCCTACTCCCATTTGTAACTTCTTTTTCAGTCCTCTAACATGTTTTTTTCTACTACACTCCTCACCCCTAAAATTATCTTCCTTTGAACTCCTTATTATTTAAATAAATCAAAAAAAAATTGAAAATAACATGATCCTCACTACCATTCATCTTATTTTATTATTTTATTATTTCCCTCTGTGTCAACTACTAACTTTCTTATTTTTTTATTATTTTTCTTTCTTTCTCTTTCCACACATTTTTTATTATTTTTTTCATCTTCTCTTGTTCATCTCTTCAACTATTTTTTTTTATATAATTTTTTATTAATTTTCGTTCCCTTTCATTCCACACAATATAGCCCATGAGGCCTTTCATTACCTTAATAGGCACAGGTCTGGTCCCCACTGCTTCATGGCTCTCAAACTCGACATGCTTAAAGCATTTGACCGAGTAGAATGGAGTTGCATCAGAGACATCATGGCTAAAATGGGTTTTGATCAAGTCTTCATCAAATGGATTTTTGCCTCCATCTCAACCTCTTCCTTCTCTTCTTGGTCAATGGAGAACCTGTGGGTTACATTAAGCCTTCAAGGGGTTTGAGACAGGGAGATCCCCTGTCTCCATTCTTATTTCTCATTGTTTCAGAAGCTCTTTCAGCTCTTTTAAAATCAGCACTGGCAGAGGGTTCTTTCAAAGGGCTGAGAACTACTAAAGGAGGTCCTACTCTTTCTCACCTTCTTTTTGCTGACGACTCCATTGTATTTTGTAAAGCTGAAGTCAGTTAGGCTCTCAATATGCTAGACATTCTCTCCAAATACCAGCTATTCTCAGGTCAGAGGGTGAATTTGGCCAAATCTTCAATCTTTTTCAGCAGGAACACATCCTCTCATATCATTGACAGTATTTGCCAAGTTCTGGAGGGCATCACTCCTCACTATTCCACTAGATATTTGGGTTTGCCCTTGGGCATTGGTAGATCCAAAAAAGAAGCATTTGACTATGTTCTATTGAAAAACAAGTTCCTATCCACAGCTGGCAAGGATACTTTAATTCAAGCAGTCATAAACTCCTTACCAGTTTACACTATGTCATGTTTTAAGATTCCAGTAAGCATTTGTAAAGCATTGGCCCAAATGTCTGCTCATTTCTGGTGGAGCAAAGGGAAGGAGCAAGAGAAGGGAGTCCATTGGAAAAGCTGGAATCTTCTAACTATCCCCAAACATTTGGGTGGTCTTGGATTCAAAGACTTCAGCCTTTTCAATGATTCTCTAATTCTGAAGCAACTCTGGAGAGTAACAACTGAACCCCAACTCTTGGTTAGTCAACTCTTAAAAGCCAGCTATTCTCCCAATTCTTCCATCTTTGAAGCCAAGAGGAAATCATCTGCCTCTTGGTTGTGGAACAACTGGTTGACTTTGATTCCTACTTTTAAACAAGGCATTTGGAGAGAAATCAGAAATGGTACTAATACTAAAGTCCAGGACTTCGGTTGGGTCCCTGATTTGGGAATTCAATCCCCTCTGCTGATTAATGGTGACTATCATTTGATGAATGTCTGTGACCTGCTGCTTGATAATGGAAGATTATGGAATGAGAGGTTAATTCAGGACTTATTCTCCCCCACAGATAGTCAGGCCATTTTGGCTATTTCCACTCTTAGGCCTGATTTGAATGATAGACGGAGATGAAAATTTGATCCCAAAGGATCCTTCTCAGTTGCTGCATCTTACACTCACCTGATGAAGAGAAAGCTTAATGATCTGGATTTAGCTGAAGGAAGCTGCTCTAGGAAGCTGGATATTTCAGTAAGGAAAAGAAGTTGGTCTCTCAAGATCAAAGGCAAAATTAAGCATTTCATATGGAAATGCTTCACATGTACCTTACCTGTAAGTGTAAACTTAAGGAAAAGAGGCCTTCTGGTTGACCCTATCTGCAAGCTTTGTGGTGAATCAGAAGAAACTATAGAGCATGCTCTTCTCAACTGTAGAAGAGCTCAACAGGTGTGGAAGATGACTCCTTTGGATTGGGATGGTATTGCCAAGGACAATTGCAGTTTTAAAAACTGGTGGTGGCAAGTTTGTTCAACAAAAAAATACGAGATCTCCGAGGCAAGAATTCAACTCTCTACCTACATTCTCTGGTGGCTATGGAGATCTAGGAATCTTTGGCTATTCAACCAAGAACTTCTTCCAGACAGAATCGCTGCAAACAGAGCACAATTGGAATGGCAAGAATTCAGCTCAATTATATCTCCCATTTCTAAGGTTGCGGTTCATCATGTTGGTTAGAGGCTGTTTCTTAGGGGGCTTGTTTTGCTTTGGTTGCTGCTTTTAGTCTGTTTTAGGTTGTTTGCTTTTCCCTTTTCTGTTTTTGCTGTTTGTTAGGCTCTGTGTGTTTTTTGTAGCTTGAGTTTGTGCTGTTGCTGTTAGTTTGTGTTTGTTAGCCATTACTGGCAGGTTCTAGCTTTAGCCTAGCTGCTAGTTTTGGTAGGTCAGTTAGTATCTAGCGCACTTGTGTTGCTCTCAGTCTCATCTCGGATATCTCGGGGTTGTCCCGTTTGTAAATCTTTTTCATTTATGAGAAATCTATCGTTTGGGAAAAAAAAAAATTACAACAACATTGGTATTGCCCTACTACATTATATCACTACAAAAAAAACTACAATTCTAACGAAAAATTCCAGAAATTCCAATAAATATTCCAACAAATTTAATTTTATGTTGGAATAAATGTTGGATAGTTGAGGAATTCCAACGGATTTTTTCCATTGGAATAGCTGTAGGAATTTATTTCCATAGGATATTTCGTTGGATATTTTCTATTCCAACGGCCATTGTTGTAAGTATTTTTACCGGAGTAGAATCAAAAGATTCGTTCCCCGGGTCGTATCGCAAGGAAGGTTAGCTTGATTTAATCGTACGTATTCGATCACGGAAAATAGAAAATCCTAAACACTCTATTCAATGGTTTTGATTTTAATTATAACTAGTGACATGAAAATAAATGAAAAGCGATTTAAATAGCAAACGAATTTACTCAAATGATTAAAGAGCTAGGGAATCGGGGATAATTGCTTTCGATTCTAACACAACTACCGGCAATCAATTGCTCGGTTAAAGGACTTGAATCATTTCTCGTCCAGAGGCTCACTCTCAATAACTCTTCGTAACAAGAGAGTGAACGTACACGATCGACTATAAATTCCAACAACTCATAGACAATACTATTACGAACAAGTCTACTCTAAACAAGCATATCTCGACCAACGTCTCCCCTCTCGGTTCTACACGTTGATTAATTAGGTTAGAAAGGTGATCAATCTACTAACCCTAGAATAAGAACAACTTGAATAGATATGAACAATTAAGAACAAGCAATTATAATCGAACCTAATCAATCATCCCCTATCCCTAGCGTATGGATTTAGCTACTCATATGGAATTGAACATCAAAATTCAAATAAACTCAAGCCATCATCATCAATCACACAATTGAGAAAAGAAGAACTTACGATTAATGTAAATAGTTCAATGTCAAACCCACAAGCATCCAAATCCAAGCAAGAAGATAGAGTTTCAATCTCCAAAATCCAATCCAAAGAGCAAAAAGATGAAAAGGAATGAGTTTCTAGAGAGAAAAAGTGTAAAAACGAAGTCTGGAAATTGAATAATAATGTCTAGGTCAAAATTCTGATGTAAAAATCCCGTCCTTGAAATTCGCGCCGCGTAAGTCGTGAGTCGCGACTTCCATGTTCTTCATGTCGCGAGTCGCGACTTCTCGCGAGTCGCGCGTCGGAAAAATCTTTAAAAATCTGGGGAAAGTCGCGACCGAACTTGCGAGTCGCGACTCCATCTCGCGAGTCGCGACTCGTCTCGCGAAAATCATCATTTCGGCTTTGTTGGACTCGCGAGTCGTGACCATCTCGCGAGTCGCGACCATCTCGCGAGTCGCGAATCTGACTCGCGAGTCGCGAGAAATGCTGGGCAGCTCTTCAGTCTGTTTTTTCGGTCCTTTCTTCAGTGTTCTGGGCATGACAATGGGTATTCTTGATTTCTCGGTCTCAGCTCTAGCAGTCTCGTCCTCGACCGACACAACCTACCTCCTGAAAACACAAACACGGAAAAAACACGGAGCAAAACACAGCAAAAAGACGCACAAAACGAAACTAAAGAGAAAAACACAAAAACACAGAACTAGACCAAATAAACCACGAAAATCCTATAAGATGGGGAAAATAAAAGGAAAATAAACCCAAAATAAAGACACAATAATGGGACAAACAACTCCCCCACACTAAAACCTTTGTTCGTCCCGAACAAAAAGAAAAGAAAAGAAAACAAATAAACGAGCAAAGACAACGGTTCAAGCAAGACCAATCTCGAACAAATCAATCGAATTGAAAAGAATTCCAATGATCACAAGAACACACCTCAATTATCAACTCAGCTATTTCGAAGAACACAGACTCTCAAGTACAAGTATGTATATGCCTCACTCAGTTTCTTCACAATATATAAGAAAAGGTGCACTCAAATTGGTCGTCAGTCAAGTCAATCATAGATTTGCCTATCGTCTAACTCTTACTCTAAAACAATCAAATTCATAAAACAGTGAATCAAGAGGTCTTAAAGGGTTGTAACGTAGGCTCTTTGGACCGGGTAGGAAAAATAT